GTGGGGGGGTGGGGGGGGTTCTTCACATCCAGCTGAGAGCTCGGCTTCACGGTCAATCAAGCGTCTCAGTGCTCTGTGGTGCAGCATCGTTGTTTCCTTTACCGCACTGGTTCTATCATCAACTCGAGTGATTCGAACTGTTTTTTGATTCAACACTGCCCCATGAGGAGAAATGCTTTTGCTAATACAATACAGTTGTTTACAAGGGATCAGTTACTTTTTTTTACATTAACCTTTACTGACTTTTGATCATGGATTATTGATTGATTGATTGATATGGACAGCGCCTTTAATGTTTCTGACTCTTGACACGACAAAGTTCAAAGTCTTAATCCAGGAGATTAGAATTTTTATTGCTGATTAGAGATGAACAGATAACTTTGTCCTATCAGAGTTCTATCTGACTAAACTTCTCGAGGTCAAGGTTCACTGACTGCAGACTCTGTGTTATTTCCTCACATAGGAATAATCAATCATATCAGCTGGTACAGGAGCTGCTGGTCCACCCATGGTCTTCACTGGTTTGTCCACTCTGACTGCTTTAGTCAGCCTCCTCCACTTACATCACATGATCACATTAGTCCTTTCCTTCATGTGATGTGTATTCTTGGCCACGCCCCTGAATCTATGACAGACTGACATTTTGCCTCTGAACCTGGATCTGACCTGTGTGACCCTAGGACCTCTGGGCTTTTTATTCAGACGTTGAAGAACACATATAAACAAACTTGATGTCACCATTAAGAGATGGCTCCACCCACTCTGACCTCATCCACTGTTCTGCTCACAGCATCGATCCCTTTGCTCTGACCTCTGACCTTAGTTTGTTGTACGTAGGGATAGGAGAGAAATACCAATCCACTAAATAGCATCAAGATGGAGGAGACGACGCCCAAACCAATAGCCGAGCCCACCTGCTGCCTGAGTGGTGCTGCTGGCAGGTGGAACTGTGGTGGGAACTCTATAGTACTGTTGCCCAGGACTGACTTCATGTTCCAGACTACAGGTACCAGTGAGAGTCCTGCAGAACAAATGTAGAGACTTCCTGCCAGGACGAACAGCTGCCCCAGGTGACTCCGCCCCCTGACAGAGAAATATGCCATCCTCAAGGCTGTGGCCCCGCTGACATTGGCAGCCAAGCCACAGATGACCGCCATCATCATCATCACCTGAGCTGCGGAGACTTCAACTGGGACGAAGTCCTGGGTCAGGTCCATGTACTGACAGAATTCCACCCCTGTCAAAACATGGCTGTAGAAACATGCTCTCCAGATCCCCACCCAAGCTACGCCCGATGTGACGATGGACGTGTCATTTAAATACCACAGACGCCACTCGTTCAGACCCGTGGTTGTTGTGGTCAGGATCCAGGCCAGGAATCCTCCAACCAGGAAGAAGAACTGCAGGTGGGCGGTGTTTGCCAGGTATGACATCATCATTAGGCTACCATAAATCTGAAACCATCAAAACGTAAAAAAAAGGTTAAAAACACACCTCCAGGCCTGCTCTTACGTCTTGCTTTTAGACACTCAAGCAGCAGATGGCGCTGAGGTCTTTGAGGTGTGTCTACAATATTAAAAAATGAAGGATAATGTTTGGATTAGAATATGGGTTAAGGTTAAAGATAAAGTTAACCCTTCAACCAACAGAAGATTTCTCTTATTTATTAAAATTAGATTTGAGTAGAAATCGATTGCATAAAATAAAAGCAAAAAAGGTAAAGAAAATGTACCGACATTTACTATTAGTTCAAATGTTGAAGTGAAATCAAAAGGTGGAAAATAAACTAAAATAAATATTTCTTTTATATAATCCTTTAAAACTCAGTATATTCAATATACTCAAAACACCTAATGTATTGTTTTTACATACAAACATGTAAACCTTTTTCCTCCCCTTGTGCTCACCTTCCTCCTACTCCTCCTCGTCTGGTTCTTTTTCTCCTCCGTTTACGTCACATTTTCTCTCTTTACTTCATTTTTGCTCAGCAACAACAAAATCTTTGGTTTCCTGAGCGTCTGCTTCGGCTCTGAGTCTTTCACTCTGTTCTGCAGGTGTGTGTGTGCGTGTCTTATCAAAAGTAAAGGTAGAAAGTGGGTTAATAATTGATAACAGAGATCACCTGATCGATCCTCACCATCACTCCTTTCACACCTCTGTCTCCTCACCCTCCCCCCTTCCCCCCTAGCCCATGCCACTTTATACTAACCCACAGTAGGTGTGCCACTCCTTTAGTGTTTAGCATGCATCATGGCTAACTAAAGATATCAATTAGTGGTTACCACTCAGCTAACCCATTTATCAATTGTTAAGTGACTAAGTGATGGCAGCAGTAAATCACTAAAAACTTTTAAATATAAAAACTGTGTTTATACTGACCTGCTATTAAAAAACCCCAAATCACTCAAACCTAAAGTTTTGGCAAAATTGAAAATACTTATTTTAATTTAAATATATTATACGTGTAGATATAAACATGTAAATAAGTCATCATAAAACTACAGACTATAAACCGATTAACAAAACAATATAAACCTTATTTACGTTCACATTATTTGCATTTACATTTCTAGACGTCACGTCTAAACTTAAAGGAAAAATTAGTTACATTAAACCTGAGCTACGACTGGAACTTCCGGAACTGAAACTGAGGGAGGAACCCGAGTGGGAGGGGTCACCCAAGACAGCTGGTCACAGTCATCATCAGGTGGGTGGAGCTCCCAACAATAAACGGTTCTACTACAGGGAACACTCCAGAAAAGTTCTGAGTTTGAAGAGGTTTTTTTCTTCTTCTCACTGATCAGTCATGTTGAACAAGTGCGTTCTATGAAACCTAAAAAAGTCCGAGTTTTTCTAAGGAAATAACTAAAGGTGGAACCTTTTTATAATTACATTCGTATTTTTATTTGTTGACGTTATTAAATCAGTTAACATCAACGGTTCATGCACGACTTCCGGTTCCTCTTGTAAAGGCTAAAAAGTTAAATAAATGAAAGGAAATGAAAAAAACAATATAAAAACGAGTGAAGCGGAAACGTGAGTTTGAACGGAGCAGACGGTCCTTCAGCTACAGCAATACCTCTTTGTACTCTGTCTCCCTCTGGTGGACAGAGACGTTTCTCATCGGCTCCCCACTGTGCTTCTGTTGGACAGACTGTCCATCAGACAGGCCAGCTGTTCTTCTCCCAGTTTGATTTTGTCCTCCAGGTTTCGCTGCTCGACGATGAGTGACGATTTCATTTTGACAAAGTGTGTGAAGTCGTCGAGGTCGTCGTTGGTCAGTTGAAAAGACAGGATGTCATAAACCAGACACTGCCGTCTCTCCACACTTTCCTTCAGTTCTTCGGCGTCTTTGTGCTGTTGAAGCAGCAGCTGTTTCTTCTCTAACAAAGTTTGCTGAGAACAAAGAACAATGATTACAAAACTCAGATTTTAGGATTTCACATAAAAATACCAATGATAAAGATAACGCTTTTTTTTTTATTCTTGGCCTTCTTGACCCTCACCCTCTCTTTAGCTGCAGGGTCGTCTTCCAAACTATTGAGAGCGTTGTCCACACGGGCCAGGCGTCCAAGAAGGGAGAGCAGAAGACTCAGCACCCTGTCCAGGTCTCCCACAAATGTACGAAACTTCTCCAGCTGCTTGGGTTGGCACAATTGCTGGACCCGGGCCTCCACCCGCACCCCCAGAGCAACGTTCTCCACAATGTCCTCCTGAAGACTCTGCTGAGCTTCTCCAAGAACCTTCAGCTTCCTGCTCAGACTCCTCATCAGTTCCTGCTGTGGAAAAACCACAGACATGACAGAAGTCTGTGCTGCGTCACCATGGAGACTCCTCACAGCTGGTCCACGAACCAGGTGAGAACCATGATAGACATCACTATGTTTTGACAAAAACAAAGTGTGGAAATTTCTGCAGCGTTCTGATTGGTTTGGCCACACTGCATTTTATGAGATCATCATGTACGTGTGTGTGTGTTGATGGTTGTGACTACAGTAGACACAGAAATGCATGTCTCCTTTAATTACATTTAGATGAGTAGTTTGGCGAGCTCTCAATCAAACGTGTCACCATCCTGGTGTTGATACATCAACGTCATACGTCATCTGCAGAGCTAGGGTTAAGTTCTGATGCAGTTTTATTTTTTTCAAATGTTATTGCAGATTTAACAACAAGGAGTTTGACATTTTATTTCTGACGTTAATGACATCATTGATGTCAATTCTCATCATAACCTCATGGGTTTTAAGGCACTGGTTATGTGTTCTACCTTCTTATGGATCAGGTCAGGGTCCAGTTCGTCCTCAGACTCCTCCTCTGACTCCTCCTCCGACTCCTTCATGTTCTTCATCTTCATCAGGAGTTTGGCTTTGGGAGCGGACGTACAGAAGTAGGTGGAGTTACCTGCTGTGACATCACTTGCTGCTGACCCCGCCTCTCTGAAAAAAAAAACCCCAGAACCAACTGGTTCAGTGACCAGTGTCCATCAGAACTGCTTGGTTCTTGGTTCTGCTTGTTCTCACCTTTCTTCAGGTCTTCTCTTCTGCTGGTCTGGGACCATCTCCACACTGGTCTTTGTTGTGGTCTCCTCTGGACCATCGACTTTCCACATGTCCTGATTTAGCCCCACCCCTTGTGGCCCCACCCCTTTCCCATTCTTTCTCATTTCTCTGTGAGGTTCAGATAGACGGCGGTGGTCAGACCCCTGAGCTGTTCTGAACTGGTCCAGACCAGAACACTGGTCTTCAGCAGAAGAACAGTTTCTCTGAAGCAGGAACCAACTCTGGTCTTTTTGAACTATCTGGACGGGAACTTTCTTCATTCTGGTTCTGGTTCTGGATCACATTAGCTGTTCTAAAAAACAAACCAGAGATGGAGACAGAAAGTCCATTAAGAACCCAACCCACAGACTCCACCGACTCATAGCCCTGGCCTGGACTTCCTTCTCTGCTGATCCTGGTCTTGGATCCGAGGTGCCCCCTTGTGGTGGGGCTGTGAGCAGTTCTACATACAGTTCCAGTCTGGATCGGTTCTTGTTCATATCAGGTATCGTTTTAGCAGAGCTTGTGTCCGTTTGTAAACTCATTTTACTTTTCTTCTTTTGGAACATTCTTTTTTTTTGCTGATATTTTTTCTGGTTCTTGTTTCTTTTTACATTGTTTTTTAATTTATCGTCTGATGTGTTGATGTTGTTAAACCTTAAAGTAATAATGAATATAATAATAAAAAGAAAGAGACTTTTAAAGATCAAAAAGAGTCATATCCTGTATCTGCTCCTGTAGGTCATGTGATCCTCAGAGTCACATGACCTTTGTTTAAACAAAGTCCAAACCAGACAAACCAGGAGTAGAAGTACCAGGTCCGAAAGCAACATTTAAAACTAACGAGAATTTTAGGTCAGGGTTCAGTTCTATCAAAAATCCGCGGTTCTCTTTGATGTTCCACGTCTGAGTGAAGTTGCAAAACTTTTATCTTTGATTAAAAAAAGTCAAAGTTCTGCTGCTGTAGAGACAGGACCAGGTTTTACTCACCCACAACCAGCAGCAGCAGGTACTTCTGGTACTATGCGACTTGGCCAAGAATGTTCTCTCATCAAGGTGGGACTCTTGACTATGGTCTCTGATGGTCTGATGACGACTACTTCTTCCTGGAGACGTGGGCGTGGCTTAAAGAGCAAACAGGATCCACTTTTGACGTCAACTTTTGTTGAAGTTTAAAGAGACAGTTGTGTTTTTATTGACGTCGTTGGGTTCAGGATCGGTCCCCTGCAAAAATGTCCACTGCTGCCTCCTGTGGTCACTTTGTGTCATTGAGATAACTCTTGACGTTAGTATTGCAAACAGTGATATCACAAAATAACAGTTATACAATTTTAAAACTGGATTTTAAAAAAATTAGAAACGGTCCAGCCAACTTAGCTAACCCAAATCTAGAACCAGTTCCTGGTCTTAGCCCAAATCTGGAACCGGTTCCTGGTCTTAGAGACTGGGCTTTGATCTACGTACTGTTGAAGTTCCTTCTTCTTTGGTCACCTGATGTTTTTGTGTCTGATCCCGTAGAAGGATGAACACATGGATCTGCGTCAAAGTCAATTCTGGGTCTCATAGCTGTGATGACTTTGGTCTGTATCAGTGGTCAGTCTGGTCCTAGGTAGAGGAGACGTAGATGGTGCTCCTGGTTCAGGTCTTAGGGGCAGCTGTGCTTAGTGGTTATGGAAGCGGACTTGGGTCCAGAAGGTTTGAGTCCACCAGCTGCCAAGTTGCCCCTGACGTGCTCTGAGCATGGCACCCTCCCCACACACTGCTGCCCCCTGCTGACTGTAACTGTCGCCTTCCATCTGTTTCATCTTCTCTACAGAAGAGTAGAACTTTATTAAAGTTGTATTTACTCTAAAATATTCTGCTAGCCCTAAACTGGACCACGACCAGGACCTGAGTCTGGGACAGTCCAGAATCATAGAGTATTCTTTGGGTTCTCTTTGGTCCCAGAGTTTCTCTCCTGAATCAACAATTCATTTCAGGTGTCACTGAGCTCTGTAGAAGAAGCAAATACTGCTCCTTAAAAATGCTGTTTCAGGATTTATTCATACACAAAACACAACTATAAAAACACTATAATAGTTTTACTGTAGACAGATGTGACAGTAGGTGGTGTTCACAGTGCATCCACAAACCACTGAAGTTAAAAACACTATGACTAGCTTTAGAGAAGATATCTAGTGATGAATGAATCTGGATTATTGACAGATAAAAACAGTTCTAGTCTAAATCTAAATGTGAATCCTAATTTAATCCAAGACCAGAAGGTGAAGAACGTCATCTGGTCTCTGAAGAACATCATGAGCGTGAAGATAGAGATGTTTGTGCAGCAGCAGGCAGGAACAGTCCAGTCATCATGTTGGAGCTGTTCAAACAGAATGTCAACATCTGCTCTGGAATGTTTTAATCCGATTACTAACTTGTTTAGGTCAAAGGTCAGAATACCTCGTTAATCTCTAATGAACAAGAATTTCTTTCACTTTTCTCTTTAATAATCTCCTGATTGCTGGTTAGTGTCTGGGTAGATACTGGTAAAGTGATGGGGTCAGTGCGCAGTCGGTTGTTAGTCGGTTGTTAGTTACTGGTTTGTTGGAGTTTTTTTTTTTACCTGCAAACAGACGGCTCTGAAAACCTCCATTCTGGAAAGGTTGAAAAAATCCCACAAGAATAGGATTAAAGTGAAAACAGAGACGTATTTCAGTACTTCAGAGTAGCTGCTGTACCTCCTGCAGCAGATCCGCCTCCTCCATGGCCTTCAGGACACTTTTCTTTGACGTTTCCTGGGCCTCACCAGCTAACAGGAACTCGTCCAGGATGTAGAACGTCTTCTCAAAGTTAAAAATGACGTCTAACTCGCAAACCTGATGAGGGGAAAAAAAACCTTGGTCTGGTTTGACTCATCTCCAAATGTTAGCATTAGCATCTGCTACTACTGTAGTACCAGGTCATGTAATCAGACTTTACAGGTTTTAAATCTTACTCTTCTTGTTTCACCAGCAGCCATTTTGTCATCAAGAGTCAGTAACAGTTTTGGACTAGTACTGAGTGCAGGTACTGGTACTTGTTCTTACAGACCAGTAATACTCACACTGCCAAAGTATTTGTCTAGCAGTTCCACATATCTGTGGATGATCTCCAGAGTGATGAGCTCATTGTCCTGGAGCTCCATTGCACAGCAGAAGTACAAACTGGCATATCTGAAAGGAAAATGATTTATTAAAAAAAACAACCCTTTATTAACTGTTGGTTTAAAACACACATCTATAATCAAGAGCTAATCAACAAATTAATTTAGGAACTGTACAACCCCTGCCCCCGTAGTCTGTCTCTGGGTGTCAGGTGTTGTTTATTATTCTGTATTAGTTTACACATTACTTTATTAATGTCACAAATATGCAGCTCAATGTTTAACGTCATTTCTCCATTTTATTGTGAAAGACAAAACGAAAGTTCAGGTGTCGTTGAGTTTGTTGTCGTCCAAAGTCAGAGGCAGCCCCCTCAACTCTCAGACTCACTAACATCGGGATTGTATTTTTCAGGCTGGAACTCTGTGAAATTTATAAAGATAGTTTCCTCCTGATGTGTACAGTGGTTTGTTGTTATGGTGTCCGTTTCTTGAAGCGGTCTTAGTGCTAACTCAGTGTTAGTTAAGGCCGTATTAAATCAGTAGTTAAATGATAATTTCATACAGAAAACTGCCGTGTGTCATTTGAATGTCATTGTCCTGACAGTCCACAGACCACAGCAGAATTATTCAGACATATGAAGAGACAACAAACATCTGGGAAGATGATCACACTAATCTATTATCTCCAGTTATTCTTCCCTGTTTGAACAAAATTTCTGTATTTGGTCTTAATTTGCTGCCACGTCCTTTTTTATTCCTGTTGGATAAAACCTGGATTAAATTTTAAAAACGGCCAGGTGTGTTGACACAGTGAGAGATATATATTGATCATTTGACACACTTAGGCTGAACAGTTCTGTAATTAACGAGGATGAATAACGCACTCATCAATACTCAATCATTCACTCTATCTGTAATTTGTTACCAAGTCTTTTCACTGTCTTCTGCGGCTCTGACGCTGTCGTCCCTTTTATTTTACAGCGTAGCGTAATCCTTATAGACATGCAACAGTATTTCTTGCTCCACCGGAGTGAAGCAAAAGGTGGAGAACATGACATGGTTCGTGTTATCTGCGCTCAGCTGAGGGAACCTTCGTATGTAGTCGGGCACTAGCGCCACTCAGACTTAACTCAACTCAGACTTCCGAGAGCTAATTGAAATCCGCTTTTGAGGAACCGGAAAGTCAGAGTTTTGCCTCTTCGACTTCCGGAAGACAGTGCTGTGACTTTAACTCGGACTTTCGTGAGTCCGCTTCAAGAAACGGACCTGTTGTTTTCATTGATTAGTGTGAAGCCGAGTTGGGGAGCCGCGTTGATAAATGCGATTTTAAATGCGCCAATTTAAAATCGTGAGAAGCGATGGCGTCCATTTCGACTGTGTGACTCTGTGTGCTGGTATTTTTACTTCCTGTCATCTTTTATTGTGAGTGATTGATAATGAGGTTTCCTGTTTATAACTTCAATTGGAAGTTTTCCTCGTGTCTAATGTGTTTGTCGTTGTTGTCTTTTAAAGTAATTTAAACATCTTATTTATTTATGTTAAATTAATAACAATAACAAAAATAATTTGTTACTCTACTTTTATTCATTGAGTTTTGTCACACTAACGTCACCTGAATCATCACAAGGTAACCCAGAACAAGAAACACAAGTTGCAGTCTGACCCACCTCTTGTACACAATACACAATCGTCCGATCTTGCCACTCAAGGAAACTGCACATTTTTGGTTTTCGTGCCAAAATCACTTGGATCAATTCTCTGCTGATCTTCTTTTTCTCTTTATCACACAATGGCACAAACCACTTCTGGAGGCGGAGTTTCGCCTGTCGACTGAACAATAGCATAAACTGCATCTGAATGCAAAAAAGAAAAGAAAAAAAAGCTGCAATTAAGCCACAGTTGACTTTTTCATATGTCACACGGGTTGGAAAACATGGGTGCATTGGTCACCTCAGGAGACTGAAGTGACCAATAACCACTGCTTCCCCGTGAGCTGGACTTTGGTCTGAGCCTCTTTGGGGCTCTAAGATTCTAAAATGAAAGGTCTGGCCATGTTACTGCCAAACCGGTCAGTTAGTCAATTGGTAAATGACCCTGATAGCCCTAAGCTAGTTAGTGAGATTAATGGAGGTCCACAGCGTCTCTAACGGCAACACCAAAGACATAAAACTATAAATAATTTAATGTTTGTTAAAGTGTGACAGAAGAGAGAGTGTAAAAGTGACTCACCATCTGCTTTGAGGAGATCAGAAACACAGTCTCCACAGAGTAGAGATTAGTGAAAACACACAGCCAATTGCTGATTGGCTGGGAGGAAAGGCGACGTCAAAGATCTGGGATATGTGTGTTAATGTGTGCACGCCATCAGGTGGACATTTTCAGCATTGCCTGCCTTAGGGTCAGTGATGAAGTTGTTTAAATTGTTGTAGAGTGTTTTAAGGTTTACAAAAGCACAACACAAGTCCAGAACATTTACATTGACTATAGCACTGAGCGCCCTCTGCTGTACACCTGCAGCAATTTGAACAAAAAGCCTTTAATTTGCCCTAAATCCAGACATGTTTGAACAGTGACATGTGCTGACCCTGGCCCTTCTCCCATTCTTCTTATTCTTTTTCTTTTTTATAGCAGACCTGCAGACTGCCATAAGCCCCACCCACTGGCTCTTTTTTTCACCAGTACAAAACAAGGCAGTGACCACTCAGTCACAGCTCTTGATTCCAGCGTTAGGGGCAGGGTTTTGGTTCAAAGTTCAACGGTAGGGGGCGTGGCTTTCCTTTTCCTGAGCTTTAGTAAAAGCACTGCTGCAGTTAAATGGCTTCATATTCCTCTGAACAAAATATAGATATATAAAGAAAAGAAAAGACAAATAACAGATAGTTTAGTGAAAAACTTTAAACCCTGACCCTGTGTCTAGTTAACCAACGGTCAGTTTAATGGTTTTAACGTCTGCATCTGTTCAGATAAAGTCACCAGATTTTCATAACTTTGTAGATAAATCCTATCATATTTTCTATCAAACCTTCAAGTTTTATTGTTCTCATCTTTGCCCACATAATTTGTCATGTCATTTATATCAATATCAGTTTACTGTTTAAAATTAATTCAAATTAATACAAAGATTTAAGCATAAAAATATGAAAAAAACACCATGAGTTTTACTTGTTGGTTTGTGGAACTGTTTGTGGAAGTGTTTGTTTGTTGACAATCTGGTCACATTAATAAACAATACACAGATTTTTTTTTAAACTTCACAATAAAACTTTAAAAGTACATTTCAGAAGATCTTTAGCGCCTCCTGCAGAACTGAGTTTCATATCAACCTGAAACTATCTGTGTACAACCTTGAAAAGGTCTGACCTTCACTCTGACCTTCTGACCTTTCCCCCACACTTTGACATAAATGACCTGAATAGTTGAATAACCAGTAAAATGTCCTTATATTTACAACGGTTTGATATGAAAAAGAACTAGAATTACTTTTACTTCAATCTAGAAAATAAAAAACCAAATTATTGAAACTTTGATCTAAACATTTTCTAACAGTAATAACCTTAAGTACTTGACCTGTGGGCAGAGCTTAAATGTAAGGAAAGAGAAGACAGTTGTTTTAAGATTGACAAAAAACTTCTGGTTAATTCTTTTACACATGAAGAGGCAGAAACCAAACCTGAACCAATGTTTGTCTTCTGCACAGAGTCAAAGTGGGCGGAGTCACAGCTTTAGAGCGCTGTTTCTTTGAGATCGTTAAGGTTAGGTAATCGCGACCTGGCATTGCGTCCTTTGACGCTCAGCTTCTCGCTGTAGGGGTTTCCCTCTGAACGATTCAGGTGCGCCGAGTGCCAGCCCGACTCCACCGGTGCTGGCAGTGGGAAGGCAGACTGTCGGGTCTTGGGCTGCGGTGCATGGAGCCCAGAGTGGCTCCGGCTCTCCGTGAAGCTGCCCTGAGAGGAGGTGGAGTTAGGTGGTGGATAACGAAGCTCAGGGGTCGTGACCTGGCTGGAGGAAGAGGAGCTAAGGTGCAAGAGTTTACGCAATGACTTGAGTGGCTGACTCTGTAAACACAGAAAACAAGAGTTTGGCTCTAAAACTGTGACAAAAGATAAAATGTTGTTGCTTCAAAAAGAAAACATTTTAATTTAACTTTGTTTGGTTGACTAACAGACCATCACCCTGACTCCGACCCCTGACCCCCGACCCCAAGGTCCTGTCTACTGAACTAAACTTACTGAAGAGCGTGAGTCTAGTTTGTCAGGTGTCCATTCCTGGTCTCTGTCTCGCTCCAGGTCCCGGCTCTGCTCTCGTTTCCTGTGGCGGGTGCTCTGATGATCTGAAGACCTGGACTTCTGGACCCCATCACTAGAAACCTGTGATGTCACAAGTCAGCTTTATACCAAATCTAGATCTGGATTTAATGATTTCACTAGAGTAGAAACATCTTCTCACCTTTTTCTTCTTCTTCTTTATGGCTTTAAAAAAACCCTGTTTCTCTTTTTCTTTGGATGAATCTGATGTTGTGTTCAGAAGCACCGGGTCTGGACCGGTCCTGGACACAAAACCTTTGGCATCAGAGCAGGATTAAATCTTTCTGCTGTTTTTTTTTTTTTTTACATCGATTGCAGTCGAGCTTAGAGTTAAAAAACAAAAACATCTGAGAGACGTGCAGCGGAACGATTGGATTATATCAAGCATGGGCAAACTTTTGACTTGTGGGCCACAGTGGGTCCTAAAATTTGACGGGTCAGAAGCAGATAGATGGAGAGTTCGTATGAACTTAAACAAAGTCAGTCAGTAAAGGCTAAAATGCTAAAATGATTTTAGCCTTTTCTATGTCATCTATTGGGGAAATGCAGGCATTGAAGGGGAAAGGCAGAAATATAATGAAAATAGAAATTAACATAATTTGGACAAGTTTGGTGGGCCAGATGAAAAAGCCAAACGGGCCACATCCAGCCCCCGGGCTGTAGTTTGCCCATGCTTTTATTAGATGGATGGATGGAACTCTCTGAATACATTCTGACTCACCAGGAGTCAAAGGTCGGCAGTCGTTTGTCCCCAGAGAGACCTGACCTCTGACCTCTGCTTTCATGAAAAGAGTTGTCTGGTCGAGGGGAGGGAACTGTTCCACACACACACAAAAAACCCATTTGATATCACTGTTGTTCAAAACAGAAAAGACTAAAGTTTGTAAACTCCCATTCCAAACCTTTTTGAGAAAATGGTCGATTTTATGATTTTCAAATGTTTGTCAAAAATGCTGTTTGTGCTGTGTCAGAATGACTTGACTAATGCTAGCATGAAATAATTGCTCTTTTTTTAGTGTAAATGTAAAGATTATTTGTTTGATTAAAGATAATTAAACCATTTTTTCACTCATTAGAAAAAAAGAAGTCCAGGACCAGGGGTCAAAGGTGAGTTCACACTGACCTCTGTAAAAACTGCCAACTCTCCGGTTCACAGATTCACTGTAGATGCTGCGGTTCTCTTTTGAAGAACCTCCATCTTCTGTCTTACCTTCATGAAATAAACCAATCTAATCCAGAAGAGAAGGACCAACATCAGAACCATGTGGATGACATGTACCATCAAAACATCATGAGAGGAACCCTGACCCTGAACACTGACCCTGCTCAAGTCTTCCTCCCTGGAGCCTCCAACATGATGGGGCAGTGTCCGATGTTGTAGTTGTGGTGACAGCAGCTGGAGGCTGCTGGCTCTAGTGGGCGGGGCTTGACCAACCATGAGCCCTTCACTCGCGCCGGCATGAGTTCTCTGGTGGTCTCTACGTACATACATGGAATGACGGTGTGGTCTCTGCTGGGAGGAGAAGGGACTGGTGTAGCCCTGGGTGTAGGATTGAGGGTCATGTGGTGCAGACAGAGAGTGGGCGTGGCTTCTTTCTACAGTGCCGTCATCCATATCCAGGGTGTCTGGTGACTTGGCCTCATCCACGGCTTTGTGCCGAGCAGATGAGCGCCTGTAGGAAGAGTCCAATGTGTTACTTTCTCTGCTTCCTTTGCTGCTGCTGCCTGGACCCAGTCTGTCACCGCGATGAGGAGCTGGGCTGCTGGGGGCCGTTAGGTCAAGGCAGCTAGAAGGAAAATATCGAGGCACGGGCTCATCGGTGTACAGATGGATGTCATTCAGGTTTCCTACTGACTTGGCGTCGCTGAGTGTGCCGTAGCTCTTGGACAAGTTCAGTTGTGCAAACCTAGAGGAGTAGTTTGAGCTGTGAGACTCCACGTAGCTGTGGCGACTGTGTTTGTCCGCAGACTGAAGCGTGTTGGTTTTTCCTTCTATGAATGAATAGCGATTTTGCTGTGAGCGGAAGCTCGATTTCAAGTATTTGGCTCCAGGTCCTTCTGACACCTTGGATCCAAAGTTTCTCTCAAAGTCGCTATCATGGTTGAACATCTGCGGCTGGAAGTTCTTCGGGTGCAGTGTGGGGCTGAGGTTGGAAGATGCTGGCAGGTTTCCATTCAGGAAGTTGTCGTTTGCATGAAGGTCTTCCTGTCGTGGCAGACTGGTGCGCTCCCTGCTGGAGGAACGGTGGTGACTCCTGAGGAACAGTAAAAGTCTTTAAACCACATTCTGATTCTATATTTTTCTTCAAAGGTTATGTATAAATGTTAGGCTATCCCTGTCAAAAAGGACTTTCTCTTTTCCTATTGGTTCAGACAAGTGTGTGTCAAACTCTAAACCCAGAAATGGCCACAAACTGTAGGTTGTGTTAAAAGTTGACATTTTTCTTTCAAACGTTTCAAACTGTAATTTATCCTATAGACAGGAACATACTGACAGTGTGTTGTGTCGCCACTGACCTGCTGGGGGTGCTGTTATTTCTCTTAGAAGACCGTACAGGTGTGGTTGTGACTGGGCTGGGTCGATCCACCAGGCGTAAGGTCTGGAAGACGTGATGATTCAGACCCTGCTCAGTGAGGAAGCGCTCAGTTGGGTTTAACAGAAGCAGGTTCTGTGTTAGACACAAGGGGACAGTAAAGAGATGTATCTTTGAGTTGTTATTTTATAATCTGTAATTATAAGCTTGATTTTCACTGTCATTGTTTCATTCAGCTCCTCTGAGTCTAAGTCAGAGGCCGTGGTTTTCGACCAAAAAAAAGGTGGCATGCATACTCCAGGTTGGGGAAGAAATGCTGCCTCAGGTGGAAGAGTTTAACTAACTTAGGCTTGTGTTTATAAGTGACAGAAGGATGCAACATGAGATTTAAAGGCGGATCAGTGCTGTATTGGTCCGTTGTGGTGAAGAAGGAGCTGAAAAAGAAGCCCTTGATTTACAGCTCAGTGTACGTTCCTACCCTAATCTGCGGGTCATTAAAGAAAGAACGAGATTCTGCACAAGCCGCTGAACTGAGCTTTCTTATCAGGGTAGCAGGGCTACCTATCTATCTCCCGGGAGGAGCTCAGAGTAGAGCCGCTGCTCCTTTCCATCGAGAGGAGTCAGCTGAGGTGGCTTGGGCATTTAAATCGTACCCAGGACACACTGGAGTGACTAAGACGCTCTGCTGGCCTGGGAATGCCTTTGGATCCCCCCAGAAGAGCGTGTCTGAGGAAAGGGAAGTCTGGGTGTCCATGATCAGACCGGATAAGTGGACAATGATGGATGGATGGATGTTTCATTCAGAGCTAGGTTCAATCTTTATTTCTGGTTGAATCAATTTACTGTTATGCTAAGAATATAGTGTTTGTTCTGTGAAGAAGCTGGGATGTTTCTCTTCCTGTGAGTCATTAGCTGCAAAAAACACCAGATCAGCCCACGTTTCTGACACTGAGCTGCTTTTATAGAAAACTGACGAGCTGGAAACATCACATTTCACCAAAGGGACATCATCACAGTGATGACCATAAAGATGATGAATGTGATGACGAAACTAAAGCTGAAAACCTAGTTTAATATCGCAAAGGTAGGGGATTCTGTCGGACTGGACGTTGGTGGAAAGTTTGGTCATAGAGAAATAGAAGATAAGCAGAAATGGAATGAAGGGAAGAAAAAGAACAAACCAAAGTGAAAGGTTGAAAAAAGAAACACTTCTGATAACGTTGGACTACTGCCCCCTGCTGTTACCATGACAAAACAAACTAATCACCCAGGAAATAAAAAAAACAGGCTCACCTTCAGCAGGTCCAGGAGGCCTCCACCAAGTATTCCTACGTATCTTCGTTCCAACGTCTGAGGATGGTTCACCACAGGAAACTGAGTCAAAGAGCGAAAAAGAGAGAACTTTTACTTTTAAGTATTCCTTCCAAACAGAAGAAAACCAGCAACCAAAAACCGACACCAAGAGACAAAGACAAAAGGAAAGAGAGAGATAGAGAGAGAGAGACAGGGACAGAGATGGGGGAGACGAGGACCATTACCCTAAGACCATGGAAACGAGGGTTGTTGTAGAAGAGCTTCATCTGCTCTGGGGGCAGAGGTCCTAAAACCTTCTGGATGGTGAAGAGCTGATCGATCTCACTCTCCCCTGGAAACAGAGGTTGTCCATCACTCAGCTCTCCGAGAATGCAGCCCACAGACCACATGTCCACCGCTTTCCCATACGGAGCTCTGCAGGAGAACACGGTCAGATCATCATCGTAGGCCTTCACCAAAGTCCACCAACAACTAAAGAGACAATCAGTGAGTTTATCACCCAGAACAGCAATGATATACCCCAGCAGCAGTTCTGGAGATCGGTACCACCTGGTGGCCACGTACTCTGTGTAGTTGGCGTCAGTGCCCTCTGAGAGATTACGAGCAAATCCTGGCAACAAAAACATAAAAATGTGAAACATCTGGGGCTGATTGTTGTTTGATGATGAGCAGAAGAATGACAGATAGACGTGTCTTCAATGAAACACATTTTTAAGCTAATAGTTTTTAAAACAAATTTACACAAAACAGGATGAATCTTGGGAATAGGAAACTGACTTCTCCACATTTTTATTCCCATCAAGAAGGAAAGGATTCTCACCAAAGTCACACAACTTCAGGACATCATCGCAGCTGATGAGCAGATTTTCAGGTTTGATGTCTGAGGAGGTAGATGGACGAGGTCACAAGTCATCGTTACAATATCAAACGTCAAAAAATCTGAAATCATTTATAAAAGTATATCTGAAATTTAAATTATGACTGATGAAATCTAGGAAATGTAGGCGTGTGATTGGCTGAAAAACATCATAAAGCCCTGGACTGTGATGTGAAACGTTCAGATCTAAACCATCACATGGCAGAACTGTTTCATGTGGTTCTGTGGTTCTTCAGAGTGACCCAGTCTGATTGACAGCAGCGTTAGGTCTATGACCACAGTTCACCTCGGTGAACGATGTCGTGTTTGTGGCACCAGTGAATAGCTTTAATCAGTTGGTAGATGTAACTCCTCGCCATCTCTGTGCAAACACCGTTGGGTTTCTCCTCCAGCAGCTCCAGCATGTTCTGAAGAAAAACAACCATCAGAGAAGCATTGTCATGTGTGAACAGAAAGTGGCCTATACGGGGCACTCACCTTCTCTACATATTCAAAAACCAAATAAAGTTTTCCCCTTCTTCGAAAAGCTTCCTTGAGTTCCACGATATTTTCCTGTTTGAGGGTTCGCAGCATTTTGAGCTCCCGCAGTGTTGTTTCTTTAACTTCTTCATTTTCTGACAAAAGACAAAAATCATCAGAAACTTATTGATTGACATGTAAATCAATGACTTATGTAACAACGTAAAATAAAATAGAGAAATATTTTAGACTTTTTTAATTTTAGTTATGGAAATTCTCTCACCCTCGCTATCCTTGAATTTCTTTATTGCAACAATTTCATTGGTCTCCTGTAACAAAACACGATGTCATGATGATGTCACAATCGTAAACGTGTAGTAGTAATGCTAGTCATCATGTTACTAAAATTATCTACTGTGGCTCAGAGTCAAGTGACAGAATAAAAAATGTCCGACTTTAAGGAATAGTTACGGAATTTATGGCCTGAAAAACTGGATAATAATAAAAATAACAACAACAATTATAATTATTTTCTATGAATCAATATATGGTTTAAAGATTTTTTTCTCTGTCTGGTTTCAAATTCTAGATCGTGACCCACTTCCTGATCGTGGTGACCCACTTCCTGATGAACTGAATGTCCTCATTTTTCACATGTTCCACTTTGTCTTCACAAAAATAACTGTTCTCCTCAAAGGAAGGATGGACTCTTAGTCCTCACTGAATAATACTCCCGTTCTCTAGGAGGAACCAATTCATACAGAATACAAACATTTGTCTGTTTTCTCAAAATAAAGACTTCAAAATGAGACAGATTTTACCTTGTGACGACACTTTAGAACGACGCCGTACGCTCCTGAAAATAATGAAATAAACAAGTTTGAATGAAATGTTTCAACAGATTTTTCTACGTCTTTTTCCTTTGTGATTCTCCAGGTTTGGATTTTCATCCAGAAGATTTATTTCTTATCCGTTCTGTTTCATCTGTTTATAAAGAAACAATATTAATGCAGCCATTACTTTGTCCAATCAGTACTCAGAGTATGGGAACATTTAGGTTATACTTCAGTACCAACCCCAATCTTCATCACCTTCAGTACTCGTATATCCTCCTAATGATCTCATTGGTTTTCTCCCAGTATTGATCAGTATTAACCCTCACCCTAACCCTTCCACCCCAGAGCAATTTACAAGAGGAGGATTAACAATCGGGACTAGTTAAGAGAAGAAGAACTTCTTAACTAGGGTGAGGATGTAGAAGAGGAGACTCACCTTCCCCCACAATCCCCAGAACTTCAAATTTATTCATGACATCACCAACAGGTCAGAAGGTCAACATCCTGTGGGGCAAAGAGCCCAGACCAAGTGGGTCGGATTGTGGCAGGGCATGGGCCATGAAGTTTAAACTCCTGTGAGCCATGGTCCAACTGTAGACCACATGGTGGCACCTGCACACAGACGTAAGTGGTCATTTATTAATTCGTTCACATTTTCTGCTTCTGCACTTTCTTAATGGCGACATCAAATGTAAATAAAAAAATATCATGAACAAGTTGGGGATTCAACGATGACTAACATGTAGCCCCCGCTGGTGGCACTGCTGCAAATGTAGCAAAAATAATTTATTGTAATTGTGAATATGAAGACTAAAAATAATTAAAAAAAACACAGACCTGAGATCAGAAGAGACCAGAAAGCACCAGACCAGACTAGACCACCTGACCAAAGTCCAGAACTGAGACCAGGACACGCAGACCAAGGCGTCAAGATTAAAATTCACTGATTTAAATTTGACAAAATTGGATGGTTTTAGTTCAAACTTATTTCTTTTCAGATTTAGAACAATGTACACACGCACACACAACCACCCCCCAAACACACACACACACACACACACACACACACACACACACTGTCTCTATCTCTCTCTTACTCTCTCGCGCACACACACAGTCTCTCCCTCTCTCTTTCTCTCTCTCTCTCTTTTTCTCTGTCTTTTACACACATACACACACACACAAACACAAACACACTGTTATCAATTGGGTTTAAACCTCAAGTCGCGGTCCTGGTTTCAGTCCAATCATTTTTCATGCAATAAAAACAAACGCACCTTTGAAGCCCCGCCTCTTTTCTTCTTCTCTTTTCTTCCACTGTTTGTTTTTTAAGAATCTCTCCGTTCGTAATGACGACAATTGAAAAATCACAGACTCACTACCAAAAAAATGGAACGCGTCCCACGGCCGCGCACATCCACCTACATACGTGCACATCCGCCCACTGACGCGCACGAGCAGAGCCACCAGCTTTGACAGCACCGTCTCCAAGCAACCGTCTGATGAACCGCTGCTTCGACCAATCGAATCCAAGCTCTGAACGTCAACCCGTCTTTTATTTACACCAATCAGACAGCGTGAAAATAAAACTTCAATCTAACGTCATAGTGATCACGTGGTTTTGAGTCAGCCCTAAATGGAGTTCTATATAATTATTGACGGGACCTTGTTTCTCTCTGTTGTTTTAATTTATCTGAAGTCTTTGCTGCTTGGTGACGTCAGTGACATCAGTCCAGCGTTTTCTTCAGTAACGCTGTCTTCAGTGAGTGTGATGTTTTGCCTAGTTTAACACACACGTCATTTTCCAAGTTCAAAATTCAGATTTAATTATTATAAGAATTACAAAAACTCAACTAAGCAATGCATACATACTACTATTTTATGATTGTAAATTAATTAAAGCATCCTTTTTTTCCTTAAGAAGAGGGGGGGACTTTTCTCCCCGACTGTTAGTACAATAATAACAATGCAGAACTCTTTCTAAAAGTAAATTATCAATGCCATCTTAAATCCCTAAAGTCCCATTGTTCCACTGTAATATTGCCTTGTCCTGTTGTTGTTGACAGAGGTGTTGAAACTTCTGACTATCTCTGTTTCCACTGTAAACACAACTATGCTTAGGCTGACAGTGTCCAGCCGGACCAAACTATGAAAACTAACAGTTCACAGACACTGAGCTGAACTACTGACACAACAAGAGACTAAAATACACAAATAGAAGAAGAAGAAGAAGAAGAAAAAGGCATTAAAATAATTGTAAAACCTGCTGAAGTAGAGTCTGACAGCATATTTGCCAACGCTCCTGAAGTAGCATGTGAGGAGTGGGACCTGTTGAGCCCTGATTGGCCACCCTGGGTTGGGGTCTGTGATCATTGGCAGACTGACACCAAGGTACATGGTCTGTAAATGACCCTTGTGTAAGCGGAAATTAGCTGACGGCCTCCGGTTTTCTTTGTAACAAAACTCTTATTTTGAAGTGCTTCACAAAAAGGTTTTTTTCGATAGTCACAACGCCGATTAGACACAGTTAAGCGCCCAGTCAGAGCGGGAATAATTATAAATGAACAAGTATTGTTTTAGTTTTCCTTATTTCATTTTGTACACATTTTAATATATTTGGTAAGTTCGTTCTACATTAATTGTTTTTGTCAAATATATATTGTACACCATAGCTCTTACGGTGTTTCCAGGAGGGATGGTTACGGACGGCTAAATAAAATCTTCTGAAACATCAGTTTTCGGTGCCTTCTTCTGACTGGGTCAGCTACATGGTCTGATTGGTGTATGGGAAGTAGTGGGAGGGGTGGTGGTGGTCTGTTGTCAATCACATCCACATTGTCAGTTATTCTGTGTTTCAAATGCTGCCATGGAATAAACAGATGTTCAATACGTTATCTTCAAACGGACATGTACATGTTCTTATTGATGTAAAACATTTTTACTTCATGTCACTCCAACTGTCTGATTTTAGTTGGGTCATTGAAGTGGATCCTGCAGTTTTTTAGGTTTTGGTCAAATGCTACCATCTAGTGGGCACATTTTTAATGCGTCTTCAAGCAGCCATACTTACAGTATACAAACATATGTACAGCGTTCCCTCTCTATATCGGTCCTCCTTTCGCTCCCTCTCGAATTCCTTTTTAAATCCGTTTCGTGGAAGTTTTACGGGAAATTTAATTTCCAATATTTTCACGATACAAAATTTAACGTCCTACGATGCCTCCTAAAGTCCTCTGATCATCTTCTTAGACTTCTGTTACCAAGTCCAAACCAA